GATCAACGACTTGATTCTCAGTGCCCTTACGGTCACAAATCTCAAGATCGAACTCTTGCAATAGCAACACCCAACGAATTAGGCGTGGCTTAGATTCTTTCTTTTCTATTAAGTACCTGAGAGCTGCATGGTCAGTATATACAATTACCTTGGACCCTATCAAGTAGGATTGGAACTTGTCAAACGCGAACACTACATCCAACATCTCCTTTTAAGTCACAGTGTAGTTCAACTAGGCTCCACTCAGCATTCTACTAGCATAGTAGATTGGGTGAATCAGTTTGTCTTTCTGCTGGCCCAGCACTGCTCCCACTGCATAGTCACTGGCATCACACATTAGTTCGAACGGTTGCTCCCAGTTGGGGGCAATAATGATGGGTGCTGTGACCAGTCTCTTTTTCAACTCCTCAAATGCTACCCTGCAATCATCAGAAAACAAAAACGAGTGATCTTTTTCTAACAACTTACAGAGAGGGTTTGCGATTTTAGAGAAGTCTTTTATGAACCTCCGGTAAAAACCGACATGTCCAAGGAAGCTTCTGATGGCTTTGACTGAAGTTGGTAGAGGCAGCTTTGCTATTACATCAACTTTCGCGCGATCTACCTTNTCAGGCACTCATCAAATGAATTCCCCACCACTGAGAAGTCATCCATGAACACCTCCATTATGTCCTCAACCATGTCAGTGAATATGGCCATCATGCACCGTTGGAATGTGGCAGGTGCGTTGCATAGGCCAAAGGGCATCAGTCTAAACGCATAAATGCCATACGGGCATGTGAAGGAGGTCTTCTCTCTATCCTCCGGTGCAATGGAGATTTGATTGTACCCTGAGTACCCATCTAGAAAACAGAAGTGTGACCTCCCTGCCAATCTGTCCAACATCTGATCAATGAAGGGAAGTGGGAAGTGGTCTTTCCAGGTGGCTAGATTCAACTTTTGATAGTCCATAGAAATTCTCCAGCCTGTGACGGTTCTTGTTGAGATCAATTCATTGTTGTCATTTGTCACAACCGTCATGCCACCCTTTTTATGAACACATTGCACTGTGCTCACCCAGCTGCTGTCAGAGATTGGGAAAATAATTCCCGCATCCAACAACTTTATCACCTCCTTCTTCACCACTTCCTTCATGTTGGGGTTCAGCCTCCTCTGATGTTCCCTGGAAGGTTTGTGCCCCTCTTCCAGCAGAATCTTATGCATGCAGTAGGCGGGGTTGATCCCCCTGATGTCTGCCATGGTCCACCCTATGGCAGTTTTGCACTCCTTTAGTACCTGTAAAAGTTTTTGAACCTGCACATCTAACAAACTAGATGAGATAATAACAGGTAATGTAGAGTCAGGTCCTAGAAATTCATACCTGAGGTGGGCTGGCAATGGCTTTAACTCCAGCTTTGGTGGTTCTTCAATGGATGGCTTAGCTGGAGGAGTTTCTCTCTTTTCTAAGTGCAAGGGCTCAAACTCTAGATTTCTCTCCCAGAACCCTCTACTTTCCAATGCCAACACCCATTCCGCCAAATCCTCACCATTCACTTCATCTATGTTCATCAAACATGCAGCCAGGGGGTCCTCAATTGTCAACACCTCATCATCGGACTCTACAATTACATCCACGGCATCAATAAGAGAGCAATTGGCGAACTCGCTTGGTCGCCTCATAGACTTCTGCACATTGAATGTTATTTCCTTATCATTGAGTCTCATTTTGAGCTCCCCAGTCTCACAGTCAATCACATCTCTCCTAGTGGCCAAGAATGGTCTTCCTAAGATTATAGGAATCTCTTCATCCACTTTGCAATCCAAGATCACAAAATCTGCAGGGAACACAAATTTCCCCACCTGAATAAGCACATCATCAAGGATACCGAATGGGCGCTTCACAGTCCTGTCGGCCAGCTGCAACAACATGGAGGTGGGTCTAGCTCTCCCAATGCCCAACCTCTTATAGATAGCCAGGGGCATAAGATTAATACTGGCCCCTAAATCACAGAGCGCCTTAGCAAAGGCGAAATTCCCAATAGAGCATGGAATTGTAAAGCTACCTGGATCAGACAACTTTTCAGCAATAGGTCTCGTCACCACTGCACTACAGGTCTGAGTAAGTGTAATCGTAGCCAAGTCTTGAAAATTAAATTTCCTGGACATCAAGTCCTTCATCATTTTTGCGTACCTAGGCATCTCCTTTAAAGCTTCAATCAGTGGAATATTTACCTGGATTTGTTTGAGCATTTCAAAGAACTTTTTATACTGCTCCTCCTTTTTATGCTTGGCCAGCCTCTGTGGAAAGGGTGCAGGAACTCTCTTCTTCCCAATCACTTGGGAGTTCTCTTTATCAGCTACTATTTCAACTACTGGCTCTTCAACTGGCTCAACTACTTTCTCGGTCTCTTGCTGAATGTTCTTTTCTTCCTGAGCAGGCTGGACTGTCACCTCTGTCAGTATCGTAGACTCATCCAGCTCAATGGGCACTGAAATGAATGTCTCAGCCTGTATATTTTCTCAATCTCTCTCTTGTTCTACATCTAGATCCCCGCCATTACGGAGACTCATCGCCATCAGCTGCTTTGGGCCCTGATCTTTTGGATTAATCTGGGTGTCTGCAGGTAATGTCCCCCGAGGACGATTGTTCAGAGATATTGAAATTTGGCCCAATTGCACTTCAATATTTTGATTGTTGCATCATGTGCATCTACTCTTTCATTTATTTTTGCATTGGACCCAATAACCTGCTGCATCATTGCTTCAAGTCTAGTGAACCCATTTTCTTGCCTTCCACCATGCTGTTGCTGAGGTGGAGGATACCCTTGCTGCTGATTTTTGTACCCCTGTGGCCTTGGATAAGGTGCCATATTGTTGGGAGGTCTCATACCTCCCATGCTTCCAGCGTTGTACTGTGGCTGAGGCGGTCTGTATGGCTGCTGAGTTTGCTGACCCCAGTTCTGATTGCCCTATCTCTGGCCTCCATAGTTTGACACATAGTTCATGTCTTCAGGGTGTTGCTGATGATGATCATGTTCTGTATTCCAAGGATTACCAACTGGCTGACTAATGCAAGATGTGCACAAGCCCCCATTGGTAGTATCTACAATGTGCACTTGCTGTTTCTGCCCTGATTCCTCCACCTTTTTGGTGAGTATGCTCATCTGTGTCAAGAGGGTCGCCACATTTTCAGCCATGGAATTTGATGGGTCAAAAGGCACTGAGTGCACCACTGGAGTGATAGGTGCATTCCTCGTCGTCCACCCCGAATTCTGAGCCATTTTGTCAAGTAGACTCTGACCTTCTCTCCAAGTTTTGCTCAAAAATGCCCCACCAGCTGAGGCATCTACAATGTTCTTCATGCTATCTGACAGTCCCATGTAAAATCGTTGTCCCAACATCTGATCTGGAATACCATGGTGTGGACATATAACCAACATTCCTTTAAACCGGCTCCATGTCTCATGCAGTGTCTCCATTGGTTTCTGTTTAAAGCTCACGATCTCATCAATTTGTTGAGCTGTTTTGTTGGGCGGGTGGAACTTGATGTGAAATTGCTTGACTAACTCATCCCAAGTTTCTATAGAGTTTATGGGGAGCGAGTTTAGCCAGACCTGAGCAGCTCTTGTCACCGAGAATGGAAATAATAACAGCCTGATTGCTTTCGGAGTTACGTTGGGTTGCCTTTGAGTTTTGCAAATCGACAGGAAGTTCTTCAAGTGCTGCTAAGGATCTTCGGCTGGTGTCCCAGAAAATAGTCCCTTGTTTTGCAGCAAGTGCAGCATGTTGTTCATGATCTGGAATGATTCAGCTTGTATCGCGGGCACAATATTGGCAGTGGTCATATTGTCAGCTGTGGGTTGTGCCCAGTCATATAGTGCAGCCTCAGGCACATGAGGTGCCATATTTTTGACGTTTCCGTTGACGTTGTCTACGTCACCCATATCAATTTCGAGTTTATATGTTTGATGAGGTTGTTGAAGTCTTTTGTTGGAACGGTTCAATACCTAGAATGTTTTCTCGGGGTCTGAGAGTCCTTCAAGTAGTTCTCCAGTCCTCGTAGAGTTTCTAGGCATACACCTGTGCAACCACGTCAACAACCGTCAAAACTTTCAATCAAAAATTTGGTGTAGAGAAAACTGACTACACTAAGAATTTTTGTATTTCTATCAATGGTAATTGATAATTCCGTTAAGTCCCCGACAACGGCACCAAAATTTGATCACGCCCAACTATGCCTTATAAAAAGGACAATGCGGACGTTGCAAATATAACCCGAGTATTCTGCCCAGAGTCGAATCCACAGAGAGTTAACCTATCATATCTTTAGACCCACTAAACTCTTGAGAACCAATTTCCCCAAATGTTTGAATCACAGTTGATGGTATCTTCAATAACTAAAATTGCAAGTAAATAAACAGCTGTAAACTAAGGATGCTAAGGTTGTAAACAATAATGAGAAAACGCTAAGGTAATGACTTCCCCTATTGATGGAATCCCTTCTGTTTATGCTTCATTCAAATTGACCAACACCTCTATATCAATCATGAACGCTCATCTTACCGTAAATCTCTTCCGAGTAATCACAGTAATATACTCAATGCACTCTCCCGAGATACACTAGCTAGCTCTAATTAACATGGTTCACTTTAGATTGCACTCAAGGCTTCGTTATCCCTAATCCCGCCTTTAAACCCGCAGTTATAGATCCCTCTTATACTTTGGGAGTGGTGTTGTTCAACAATAACCTAAATATGCACTCTCTCCCGAGTTATGCACACTAAATAGGCACAACTAATTGAGGATCCTGTCAATTAACTACAACATGCACAAAGTTGAACAAATAAAGATTGAAACTAGCAATTTGTATTCACATAAACAAGAAGTTCATCCCCCAATAGGTTCCATCAAAACCTTAGACAAAGGATTTAGCTACTCATAACTATGGGTAAACAAACTATGAAAATATTCATGATTAAAATTGCAAGAAAAATAAAGAGAAGAAGAAACCAAGATGTTTTGGGTGATCTCTCACACTTGTTCTTCTTGCCAAAATACTCTCTAAAACAATATATGCCTCTCTTGGGCGAAGTCTAATGTTTAAAATAGGGTTTTGGGCTAAAAATCCCGTATTTTTCACTTTAGTCCTTGAGGTTCTCTGCTTCCGCCGCGGTTCTGCCGCGGTCGCGATCAAACCGCGGCCAAACATGCTCTTTGATTCTCACTTTGTCTGCAGCCATCTTCTTCCGTGGTTCTGCCGCGGTCGTGGTGGATCCGCGACAGTCCTCTTTCAGTTCTGACTTGAGCTGTTTCGCGTGGTTTACTTGACAGAATTTTACGATCGGCCTCTTTTTCTCCATATTTGATCGTAAAAGTACTCCATAGCCTTCTCTGGTCATATATAACCTGCAAAGCATGAAAAATACTAATAAGAGAATTTTTTTTATCACTTTTATCATCCAAACTATACAAGAAGGTGGTTATTTAGGGCCTAATTATAGTTAAATTCACCTATTATCATCTCCCCTGAAGCTTTATGCTTAATCTTGAATATCCATCTACAGCCAATAAGATTCTTTCTAAGAGGCAGATACACAATACTCCAGGTGTGGTCTAATGCTGCTATCTCAAGCTTCATGGCATCCACCAATTAAGGACCTTTGACTGCCTCTGAGAATGATTGAGGCTTAGTACATGTAGAATAAGCTAATAGAGCTTGATAGTAAGATGAAGATATATGTGAGTATGTCATATGAGCTGAGATTGGATAGGTACATTTGGACCCTTTGGACTGAACTACATAATTCTGCAACCACAGAGGGGGTCTACTAGTTCTAGAGGACTTTCTGAGTTCTTGTGTACTAAGAGAATCAACTACAAGAGCTTCATTTGTAGTTGAAATTTTAGTTATGTTTAGAAGATGTAAGTGATCAGATACACTATCATCTTCTGAGACTGCTGGAGATGGTTGTGTCATATTGTGAGGAGCTATAGTAGAGGTAACTGGGTTATCAAGAGCAGAAAGAACAAACTCTAACATAGGAAACAAGGGATTACTGACTTTTTTTCAATGTGCTTCAAGGGATAAATGTCTTCTTGAAATATAACATTCTTTTTGACTGGGAAGGTTTTGAGGATGGATCACACAGGATATATCCCTTCTGAGTGTATGAATACCCCATGAGAACTACTGGTATTTCTCTTGGTGAAAACTTGTCATGCATTTTAAGACTAGATGCATAACACAAGCACCCAAAGACTCTTAACTTAAAAGGAGTCATGCACCAATTACCTTAGAAGGTCGATTAATAAGATAGACAGCTGTAGTGACACACTCACCCCAGAATCTTAGAGGAAAAGAAGCTTGAAACCTGAGAGACCTTTCCATCTCTAGTGTTATTCTGTGCTTTCTTTCCACAACTCTATTTTATTGTGGAGTGCATACACAAGAACTCTGATGCATGATCCCAAGAGTGGTTAACAAAGATGTAAGTTCATTGCTAAAGAACTCACTTCCATTATCAGTTCTCAAGTATTTTACACTAGTAGAGAACAATTTTTTTGCTTTAACTAAGAAGTCTCTCAACACTATTACAGCTTCAGACTCAAAGTTAATAAGAAATATCCAAGTATATCTAGAGTAGTCATCAACTAGAGTGAAAAAAAATCTCTTCCCATCATAAGTTGGCACCTTGTAGGGTCCCCAAATATGACAATGCACTAATTTAAATACAGACTTAGCAGTTGAATTACTTAGAGGAAAAAATAGTTTGGTTTGCTTAGCTAAGTGACACACAGAACAATGTTCATGAGTACATGCCTTCACATCACTAATTACATTGAGTCTTTTTATTATATTTATAGGAGCATGACCCAACCTCTTATGCCACAGGTTACCAGATGAGCAGGAACTAGAATTATCAGTAGTACTAGAGCTATAACTAGGCTCAGAACCAGAAGAAACATCAACTGTATTGAGACATCTTCCAGCAAACTGTGTTGAGGAGTTCTGAAGCCCTTCTCCTTGTAGAATATAAAGTTCATGATTATCCCTACCAATCCCCTTCACCTGAATACTGTATAGATCCTAAAAAATACAGAAGTCAGGAAAGAAGGCAACAAAGCACTAAAGCTCCTTGGTAAGTTGAGACACTGACAACAAGTTGTACTTAAAGTTTGGTATGTACATCACATTAGATATAATGTGATATTTAAGAACAATAGCTTCCCCTTTATGAGTGACAGACACAATCTCCCTATTTGGTAAGTGAACTGTATTTTTATTTGCTTTGTTAATTCAACTGTGTGAATTAAGCATGTCAATTCTAGAGGTCATATGATTTGAAGCACCAGTGTCTATGATCCAGTTCTTATTGACAAATTTGGTCATTAAGGCAATTAGAGTACATATTGCAGCCAATCTACTAGATGATCCTAGAGCTTTCTCATTCCCCTATGACAATAGCTGAGGAATCTGCTGATACTGTTCTTTAGTAAATAAAGCAAGAGTTGAATTAGACCGGGAGGGAGGTCCAAAATTAGGAATCTGCTGCTGTGGACAGGCAATTGGTTGCTGTGGATAAACACAAGAATATCCTCTTTTGTTCTGTTGATAGGAAGCATTGGTTTGAGTGAGTGCACAATGTGGTTGAGTGTTCCTGTGGGTAGTATCCCCTGCAGTAAAGTCTACACCAGAGGCACCATTGGCATACAGACGAGGGGTGGATGCAGGTCCTTTCCTTTTGGTCTTTAAGTCAGGTAGATATCCTATAAGTTTGTAGCAATTCTCCTTGGTATGTCTCTTGCAATGGCAGTACTCACATTGGACATGACTTTTCTTGAACTTATAGTTACCACCTAAAGCTCCATTCCCTTTATTGCTATACAATGTTGTACTTTCTATCCCTTCAGTAACTAGCATAGACTGCTGACATATTGCAAGACTTCTCTGACTTTCTTGATCAACAAGCAGAGAATATGCTTTGTTGATACTAGGCACAAGAGATATCATAATTTGGCTTCTCGCTTGAGCATTGGTTTTATTCAAGCCTACTAGAAACTGCAGTAGTCTATGAGCTTCAAAATGCTGAGAGTATTTCTTAGATTCAGGACAAGGGCAACCGGGACAAGGCATGAGTGCATCAAATTCATCCTACATATCTTTTAGTTTAGAAAAAAAAATCAGCAATTGTCATGGTTCATTGGGCCAGACTATGAATTTCTCTATGAAAATATAGAACTCTAGAACCATTGACTTTATCAAATCTTTCCTTGAGATCCTCCTAAATCTTATGAGCATTAGAATCATACAAGATACTACTCAATAGGCCTGGTCTAACAGAGTTCGTAATCCATGATAGAACAATTAACATTTTTCCACTGGTCATGTAATTCAGGTTCAAACCTAGCTTTAGGAAATCAACCATCAACAAAGCCTAATTTGCTCTTACCTAATAGACCAATCCTCATAACACGACTT